CATTATTTTCCAGTCTACAGCGTAACTAATGTTATTGTCTTTTAGGGACCAAATGTGCTTGCTTAACTCTGTGGAGTTTCTCTTGTTGTTGTCACGGAATGAACACGTGTGATTGTTAAATCGTGTTTTAAACCGATCTCCAGTAAGGCCGATGTATGTTTCCTTTGTATCGTTGGTTTTCACAGTGGCTTGGTAAATGACATTGTTGCTTAGTTCTACAATTACACATTCTTTCGGCTACAAAGCGGCTACAATTATGACCTAAAATATGAAGCAACCAACAACCAAGCTACAGAGAGAAGATCTAGAGGCAGGAATATTACATGGTATAATCCCCCATTTAGTAAAAATGTCGCCACAAATGTAGGACGCAAGTTTAGAAATATTGTGAAAGAATCCTTCAAGAGCGGGCACCCACTGCAAAAAAAAATATTTAATAAAAACACATTGAAAATAAGTTACTCATGCATGCCTAATTTAGAAAGAAAAATCAATACCCACAACAAATCTATTCTCAGAGAAAACCCACAACAATCCGAAAGAATGTGTAATTGTAGATCGAAACCAGATTGTCCGCTAAAAGGAGAATGCCTAAGCAACAATGTCATTTACCAAGCCACTGTGAAAACCAACGATACAAAGGAAACATACATCGGCCTTACTGGGGATCGGTTCAAAACACGATTTAACAATCACACGTTTTCATTCCGTGACAACAACAAGAGAAACTCCACAGAGTTAAGCAAGCACATTTGGTCCCTAAAAGACAATAACATTAGATACGCTGTAGACTGGAAAATAATGGCCCGTGCAAATCCGTATTCAAATATTGGGAAAAATGTAATTTATGTATAATGGAAAAATATTTCATCATTTGTAAACCGGAAACTTGTACTCTTAACAAAAGAAACGAACTGGCTAGTGCATGCAGGCATGCAAACAAATTTTTAATTAAAAACGGTTAGGCTTTATGACACTATGAACGATCGGTATATAAATGGGATATTTTAGTCTAATCTGATCATGCACCTGAAGAGAGAGGATCTAGAAAGGGCCTCTCGAAACAGAACTGTAGTGCTTTTCAATTTTTAATGAACATTCTTAGGTTTTAATCTTTAATTTTAACTTAGCTCCACTTTGGTGTAGAGCACTATATGGCAGAAGGAGAAAACCAATTGGTATATATATATATATATATATATATATATATATATATATATATATATATATATATATATATATATATATATATATATATATATATATATATAGTCATAATTAATTTTAACATTTGTCAGTGATTAGGTATATAAGGAACCTAATATTACTCGCACAATTAGTCCACTGAAGAAGCCTTAATCGGAGAAACGTTTGGACGGTTTTAATATTTTTAACTTTTTATTAAAATTTTAATGTCTGAAGAAGAATACAAACCACTCATTATTAATACCAGACATGATACCTCAAACACCTTCATATATATATATATATATATATATATATATATATATATATATATATATATATATATATATATATATATATATATATATATATATATATATATATATATATATATATATATATATATATGTATATATATATATGTATATACATATATATAGACTTGTTCACCAATGTGTAAGCTATAAGAAAATGCCATGCAGTTGGCAGGTTGTAACAAAAAATGCCATCAGACCGGCTATATAGTGTACCTTTCAGCATGTTGGCCGCTCGTCTAGATTGTCAGTTCCGGGATATATAACGTTATTATGTGATGTTTGACCCTGTTTGACTGTTCAACGTAATGGCAAAAAATTTGAGCAACATACACGGGAGAAAATTTTTTCGGATTGCTTATGGAATTAATATTATTTTTTTCTGATATACAAATTTCCACACACTTTCTGGATTCCAAAATTCCGGAATTATACTCCAACTAGTGAAAAACGAATCCAATTTGAAAACACCACGGCACAAACAAAACTTTCGCCCTAGAGTAGATGTGGTCTTAGAGCACTATATCAGCTGTCGCTAGTCATTCATAAACGATAGAATCCAAAACCTTCTGAGTCGTACCTGCGGTGAGCGCGATTCCTGTATGTGATGCTTTCCTTCGTTGCCTCATATTACTAGAAATATACATGCAAGCAGGAACCCCGCCCTCGCCTTTTTAAACCAAACAACTATAGTTTTCAGACGTGTTTTCAACACTATTCATCCTGCAGACAATGAAGGAAATATAATGAAAACAAAAATCTAAATCATGATCATGCAAAATATCTCGGCCAGTGCCGCGTCCAACGCTTACACTTTTTCTTGCTCTCCCAACTTCCCCCGTGCTCAATAACTCGATTGAGCACACCAAATCATGAAAAAATTCCAAAATTTAAGAAAACAGTTTAGTACACCTACATTGAAATAAAATGATTAAAACGTATGATGCAATAAATACTAAAGATAAACAATAAAACAAATTACGGTACCTTGTTTATTTTGGGCTTAATGCTTCTTTCCACACCTTTTATCTTAACATTTTTCGAGATACGAGTCTCATGTGAATTAAAATAAAAAATTCGCTTAGTCAATCCCTCACTCCTCTTTAAACAATTTGCTAACATAATTTTTTAATCTCGCCTATTCCACTCTAAACTCTAATCCACTTCTGAACATTTTAAGATTAATTACACGAACAACCATTAACCATGAAAAATAGCCCTGCGCCTTCGTGCGAGCATTGGTTACCTTTTGAATCACTAGCTCTTCTTTTTTCCTGGGTGCACTTAGCCAAGCGGGATTGGTATCCCTGCCCTGGTTTACGTACCGCCTGGAGCTAACGGCGCACAGCGATCATTATACTAAATTAATACATTATTTCGTCACTTATTTTATAATAAATCAACATATTCTTTCAGAGAAAAGGAAGTATACAAACATTTAGAAGAATACCTTGATCGTGCCAGGGGCTTAGCAAAACAAAGAGAACATTTAATTGAAGTTTGCGTATTGTGTGTACAGTGTATGGAGGTATATCCAGATAAATTATATACTGTTACGTATAGAAATAATATAGACTAGAAAATACATGCATGCAGAAACCCTCGCTTTGCCGAAAAAAACATTGTATTTTCCGAACATGAAGTATCCAAAGTTGTTGTCATGGTAACACGATAAAATCACCTAAAAATATCACTTTTAATTACAAAATTATCAATTTCCCAACATATATATATGTTAGGTATGTTATTATGCGTAATATAAGCTTCAATTTAAGGTAAAATTCAACCACAAAAGCTTCGCAAAACGTTTTAAAATGTTCTTTATAAAACTATTAAAACTGCCTTTAATTATTAAAATGGCTTTATCGATAAACTTTGAGTTTGCAATAAAATGATTTCAAATTCTCGCATGCAAATAATTTTGCTTACTTTTTTATTTAAGAATTCAATATAGGCCTAATAAAAAAGGGAATCAATATTATTAATACACTGAAATTATATGCTGTCTTGTTTTGTTTTATATACGCAAAGCCAAAGAGCCAAAGCGGCCGTCGGGTTTTAAAGCAATTATAAATTCAATATTTAAAACAAACTTACCTTCGTTGACGTCGGCTCCCTTCTTTTAGCCGATTCTTTCGCCCTTTCTTTCTTGAAATTTACAAAATCTTGCAAAAATGCGAGCAAAAATTAAATATATTTGCAAGAAATTTATCAATCATCAAATCAAGTAATGTTTGCTATTTTGCTGTCGTCATACAGTCGACAGTCGTTATAAATGCAAACTTTAAATTGGACCAATCAGTGTCCGCTATTCATGACAGTCCACCATATTTTTGAGATCAGTGAGGATGACCACCCACCGAACCACCGAACCACTCATGGTAACCCACGCCCTCGCTCATTGATGAACTTTAGACTTGGCAAATGATTTCGTTTCCCCGGGTGTAAATAGCCGGGGGGAATTAGTACCCTCGCACGGCGCTTTGCGCCGTCGGCTCGGGGATTATGATATTGTCGTTCACCCAGCAAAAAGAGGATGGTGGCACAAAAGCTGCAAGAGTTTTGCAAACCAGAAAACAAAAACTATTCGCTTTAATAGGGGTACAATACATCGAAAAGCTTTTCTTTTTAGAAACTAGTTTAAATAAAATTTATTTGGAAGAATTAATACTGAAGAGCAACTAAAAAGCGTGCATGATCATGGAATATTAATTGTTTGCAAAAGTCGCAACGAAAATCAAATAAATTTGCAGTCAACAAGCACTTACTTTGCTACGAAACATCGACATAAAATATTTCGATATAAAATATTTCGATATATAAATATTTCGAGATATAAAGTACATATATAGGATTGGTATAGTGCATATACTGTCATTTTTTAGATCATTTGTGCATAATTTATATATATAAATAATGTACCATACCTCCATAAAATGAGTCGCTTTTCTCTTAAGAAAATAAGAACCTGTTTAGCCAAATTTTCCGGTGAGCACCATTTACATATAAGAACCTGTTTAGGCTAACTTGAAAAAAATCTAGGTTCTTAAATGCCTGGTTTTACTGTATGGGGCAGTCGCGATGGTCATTTATTGGTTATTGTTTTTTTAAAAGCCGGTTAATTTAACTAAAGTCATATTAAATCTATTTCTGTGTTGAATATTCAACGTTTTGCTTTCCGTAAAGGATTAAACGAGTAAATTATATGGTTTTATATACAAATTATTAAAAGTATACTTCCTCCTTCCAGTCAATATATGCCGCATGGTTTATTCTGAAATAAGGATGCACATAACGGAAAATAAAATAGCAGAAACCAACACTTCTTGAACTGTACATTGCCCTTTTCGTACAACGTTAACAACCAGGAGTAACTGCAAATGTACTTTAAGTTTAAGAAATTTAGCTTTACCAAACTTCACTAAAACGTTTTTTTTAATTAATATTAATTTCTTTACCTAGGATGTGGAAACAGTGAAATTATTAAAAGTGAAGGAAGGTAGTAAAAATGCACAAATTTTATCGACAAGCAAAGTGCTGGAAAGAGCGTTACGTACTATTCATGGTCACCAAAACTCATTGAATATCGATTGTCTTCGAGATATCGCTGGAATAAGGGCTGCATTGGATGTTCTTTCTACATATTTAGGAGATGACTTTGTTGAAAATGTTAAACATTTCCAAGCCCTTCCAAAGTGCCTTGAAACAGCGAAACACCTGTGTAGTAATTCAATTCGATCTGTTTTGCATTTGTTTTTATTAAAGCAATTAGTTCGCCATGACCCTAATGGGATTGACGCTGTTAAAGAAAGATGTAAAAGAACGGAACTTAAATGGATTATGCCGCCACAGTCGGAGGTAATACAATTTTTTTACTGCTCTAACGGTCTAATGTGAAACATGAGCATGAAGCTGATAAGTATTCATTTGAAAGCAGTGCATGTAAATTCCCAAAAGATCAGTTGTGAAGGTTCGTAAACGATCATGTGTTTTTTACACTAAACTAGCATTTATCTATAGAGTATTCTGTTCAGGCAATATGATCTCATGTAGTCACATGCAGTAGAAATATCTGCCTGCCAAAAACTGTGATTACACCGATATGTTTACGAAATTCTTTAAGATATATGTACCTAAGGTGATGTCAAAACACCGATTTGTTTACGAAATTATGTATGACATCTGTATACCTTAAAAGAATTAAAAGACAATAGCAACAACAAATTTTATTGTCTCATTTGAAAGAGCGTTTAAAATTATCTACAACATCTTGTTACAGATTTTTCATATCTTGCTTTACTCTTGAAATATTTTGAATGAAAGCAATGAGCTGTCCGCCATCCTGAATGATCGATATGCGTTTTGCGTCACAAGTGGGGTCACGCAAGTTTTTGGACCAGGAACTGGTCCCCAATCGCTGCTAATCTTCTTGTTGTTGTTGTTGTTCGGGGGCGACGCTCTTTGAAAAAACCCTAAGGCTCCGTCATTACTTGTCTGATCGGAATGAAATTTTACACAATTATTCTAAGCAATATTCCGCATCGATTGACGGTGTTCGATTTTTCATTTTTGACTTTAGAAGCAAGATACAAGCAATTTTTGACTGTATTCGTAGCAAATAATATATACATATCATTAATATTCAGCAATATATCAGCAAACACAAACGATAAGAAAGACATTGTCTTGTCTATTGTTGTGAACACAATCACAATAGTCTAAAACTTCTCAAGAATGTGAACGACTAATTATAACAATTAATTATAAGCGTTAAGTTGACTAAATTTAACACGCTGGCTTAGTTTCTCAAAGCGTAGTGGAGTAATATTGCTATCTGGCTGTCATATAATATTCATAGTCTGATAGAAAATCGTGAACCGTAATTAAAAACAAAGACAGGAAAATTTGTTTTTAGCACAAGCATGCAGTTATGAAGCCATGACTAAGCGAAATGAAATTGCATTAACCTGGCAACAATTCAGATCATTTGTTACCTTAGTTAACTTATTTTGTAATTAATGGCAGGCACGCGGCAAGGCAAAATTTGATGTACGGCAAAAGTTAGCTGACTTAGGCACGGCATGCTTATTCTAAATATTGTGGGACATTTAAATTTCTATCGAATTCAAATGCGAGGAAATACTTTTGAAAACTGCGCATACATTTAGTTTATATCTATGCTTTGTCCAGATTTACACCTCAGTTAGGCTATATACACACGGCACTAGACACATTTTGCCCGGATAAAGTGTATCTTGCATGACCAAATTAAAGCAAAATATTTAGCGAACTCAGTCTACGTTGCAAACTTCGAGAACATTAGTTTCACAAGTGTCTAGTGATTTGTTTATCAAGTCAAAATCTCGAAGGTTTTGAACGTTTAACGATTTGCACAAAATCGATATACTTGTTATCTTGACATCTAGTGATCAATATAAACCCAGAATTCGTATTTCGTAGCTAGTTCAAATTTCGAATTGAATAAACACATTTTAAACAACTTTTAATTGTTACTCGGTAACTTAGAAGTAATTTTATAAGGCTAGCCCCACACCTGACGTCATCAAAACCATAGTTAATGAGGTTAAGAATTAATCCAAGATGGCGGACAGCTCATTTCTTTCAGTTGATTGATTGGTTGATTTGACTTTATTTAAAGAGGGTAAACACATGACAGTATCCGCGAAGACACTGATAACCTAGTGGCCCTCAGTGAAAATATTGCAAGAGTTGAGTTTGATATGAAAAATCTGTAACAAGTTGTTAGGGATAATTTTAAACGTTCTTTCACACGAGACAATAAAATGTTTTGTTGCCATTGTCCTTTAAGGTATTGTGAAAAATGACAGTTGCATAAGCCAAAAAATAAACAGTCAAGTAAATACTCAAGTAAGAATGCGCTTCGCGGCCCCAGTCACTATAATGCTAATTATCAACTTGCATCCATAAGCCAGGTTTTGACATTTTACAGATCAGAAGTTATTCCTGCCATACACTTCAGCCCTATACGAATATACAGGTGCATGATTGTCCAATTATCCTACCGGAAAGCATTTTATCAGTAAATTATTAACGACTCTCTGCATCTTCTCTAATTAGCCATTCCGAAGTTGATGAGTGGACTGGGGACAAGTCTTAAAAATTGCCCAAATTAAGATATGAACCATATTACTAAAAAGACCGCCTCAAAATTAGTAAGTATACAAAGTTTGAAGATGTTTGCACAAATATTCTTCGAATAAGCTTTTGAAAATCGTGATTTTTACTATGAAATGTATTGTAATTTCTTTTAATCAGTAATTTCATGTAAACATCTTCAAACTTTGTATACTTACTAATTTTGAGGTTGTCTTTTTAGTGATTCGGTTCATTTCTTAATTTGGGCACTTTTTAACACTCGTCCCCAGTCCACTCATCAACTTCGGAGTGGCTAATACTTAAAGTAACTGATTTACAGTACTTCCTCCAGCCAAATCTGCAGAGCACGTTTATCTGTTTCTGGTGTTTTTCTAGGAGCAAGATAAGACTCCAGACATCTTCATCATTCATCATGAGAATTATCGCACTGTGCGGGAGGCTCTTGGCAAAGCAATACTTACATCTAACATGGATGACCTAAACGTTGTCATTCAAGTGAGTTATGTTTGTAGATTGGGTTCGTCAGTACCGCATGTCCACTTTTTATTTTGAGGTTGGTGTTGATCGTAGTTATCAGAAACCAAACCTGTTTATGCAATAAAATACTCCGGAAATACTTCAGTTTCCTCGTTTAAAAAAGGTGAACTTCCTCGTTTTCCGAAGGTGAGCATGACCATTCCTCTGTTTGATTTTCCAACAAATTACACTGGATTCCTTTTTATGACCAAGATTGTGAAAAGCACCTTGGCGTTTAAGAGGCTCAACATTTGATACCACCTCTTTTAACGAACTGTCTTAAGCAGTGAAATGGATACTAGATCAATTATGTAGATTTGTGGGTAATTAGAATTTTGTTTGTCCTAATTTTAACCGCGCGGCACAACTGAAGGAGGCAGAATTTTACACTATCTATACCTGTCAATAATGGAACTCGTTACCTCTTGAAATTTTTTTTTAAACTTCGTAAATAAATCTTTTTTTATCACATCAAGAGTTAAAGTGCGCCTAACCTCAATTCTTCTAACATCCAATTCCTAAGAACCTCTGAAATGATATTGTAACTTATTTTGAAGATTTTCCTTTGCACACTTTGTCTCTGAGTTATTTCAGTTTTAATGATATGCAAATGTCCGGAATTTACGTCACATATGAATAATTACTGATCAAAGAATGTAAGGTACAGCTAAATATTTATCACTTATTTACTGAGACCGAGGGAAACAGTGTCTTTTGTAGATCCGTTGCCGGCGAAGACGGCGAAGCTGAGGGTAACAACGGCGGTCGAGGGGCAAAAATTGAACTTTGGCACTAAATAGAAAGAAATAGAAAGGCTAAATGAAATAGAAAAGCTAAATGGTGTTTTACATAGGTATATGTAATCCTCCAACAACTCCAAACTTCATTTTAATGAATTAAACTCGATAGTGAATACGATGTACAAGCTTTTGCTTTAAATCATTATGCATTTGTGACGTAAATTCCGGATATATTTGCATGCCATGAAATATTTTAGAAACACAGTGAGCAAACGCAAATCTTCTCAATAAGTTTTTATATCATTTCAGAAGTTCTTAAGAAAGAGATGATAAAAATAATTGAGGTTATAGGTGCATTTTAATTACTAAATCATTTTAATACATAGGTTTACTATCTTCTAAAATTTTATGTACCAGTTTATTTTATCAATCAATCGATTAAAATTGACTGATTGATAAAATAATCGTGTGGCTCTCTAATGCAGATCACTAATGCAGATAATCCAATAAAAAGAATAAAATTACTGGAAATATGTCAAGTATATATACAAACTATAAAATTTTAGAAAATCACCTCATCTTTTGATTCATCTGACTTCAATTTCACTGGGTATTTTAACTGCCATTGTAGCCTTTCCTTGAGTTAGGAAAATTGATTATTTTCTTGTAGTTTTAATTACAATTAAATATGTATTTTACAGGAGGATTTACAAGCTCAACCAATTGCACGTTCTTGTTATGTTTTACTGGCTCTGTTTCGTGAAATAACGTCAAGCTTTTCACTTGTGAACGCAGAAGATCGAATTCCTGATAGGGTAGGTAGACTATTGAATGTGTATATACTGTAGAGTACAAAAACATTAAGTGGGTGCGCCCATTGACAATTTCCATATAATTTCATACAGGTACAAAGTGTCCAAGAGTTGAACGTTGACTTATGTTCCATTTTTCGAAACGAATGATAAAGATTAAATAATTTATTACACTGACCTGAAATGTCTTAAATCCGTAATTTTCTGTTTTCTTCGTCGTCGAGAAATCGAGTTTGCGTTGGCGCAACCTAGGCTCAGTTTCCAGTGTTCCAGTCGTTCCAGTTTACTGTACAGATTAGTTTTCAAGATGGCGGCCATTTCTTCATTTGTCAACGAATTTTACCGCGTTTTTCTGTGGATTTTGCATTTGTCCTACTTTGCACTTTCTTGGAAGTTGACTTGGTGGGATTTTTTCGTGCAACGTCTCTGGAAATGCGATATCTGGTCGCTGAGTTTTTCGAATTTTATACGTTACGGACTTACGGAATGTAAACAATGTTGTCTGCGTTAGCGCATCGCGTGCTCAGAGACCATGTGCATTTATGGATAACGTTTGTATTTGTGAGTAACATTTGTGTTTCATTGGACATTACGAAAACACCTCCTCAGGATAACTTAAAATAATTTTGCGTGTCCCACCCACTCATGCATCGATCACGCCACGCTTTCAGCCTTTCACGCTTTGCGTTTGCGGTTCACGATTTGTATTCCTTGTCTATTATACCATGGCACGTATGTCGTCAATTTCAGGTCAGTGTCAACGCCAGAGCAGGCTTGTTTTATTAATTAATATCACTGATCATTTTGGATAGTGAAATTTCGCTGGAGTCAAACGCTTCGACTAGGCAAACGGGGTAAATTCATAGTGCAGTATTAAACTAGAAATACATGCATGCAGTAACCCCTCGCCAATATTTTCCAAACATTAAATTAACATGGAGTATTCAGAAATGGCCCACTGAACGCAGGCTCGCGCTCAAGTGTTGCCATGACAACACGATATTCTTAAATTTTTAATTTTTCATATTTTTTGTACAAAACTGCAAAATAGTTCAAAGATTCGTACTTTTAACTATACAACAATAAATTTCCATATCATATACTGTAGGTATATTATTTTGCATTTTGTAAGCTTTGATTTAATGTAAAATTTAACTTGAAACGCTTCGTAAAATGTTTTGAAATCTTCATTCAACTATAGTTCATTTGCCGATAAACTAATAAATATAAAACATAATAAGTTACAAATAAAACTAATTGTTAGGTAATTTCAATTCAGTCTTCAAATCAATTTGTTCTCCTTTGCATTTTAAGATTTTTTCTCAAATTAAACGGTAATTTATGAAAGTTAGAGCTTTGTTGAAAAGGAAAACAGTTCATGTTTTTAGGCAAAAAGTTAATTAAAGCAGCAAAATTCGTAAACATTAAATATTCAAAGGAATCTTGCCGTATATTTCACGATTTCCCATAGTAAATCTATTCTTCTCATCTCTTCAAACAAAATTGCTTCAATTAAGCTTGTTGTATATGAAACGATTTTCCAAATATATGTCTTTAAAATTGAAATCTTGCTTATCCCACTCCTACACGCAATCAGCCATATTTTAGAGATCAGTGAGGATGACCACCCATCGTTGGTGACCGACGCCCGCGATATTTGATGAACTTTAGACTTCGCTAATGCTTTCGTTTTTTCCGGGTGCAAATAGCCGGGAGGAATTAGTACCCTCGCACGGCGCTTCGCGCCGTCGGCTCGGGGATTACACAGTGGATATAGTTGAGTCACAACTAATCCGCTTTCGTTCCAAAAATTAGATTGCGTGCTAAGGATATAATACAGGTCTGAGAATTGCTCAGCTAGTTTTAATTAATCATTCATGCACTGTTTTCAACTTTATATATTGGGCCTTTCACACTGACACTGAGATCAATCTAACGAGATCGATTTCAGATCGATCTCGAAACGCATCATGCTCGCTATTCCATTGCCTTTACAATACCTTACAAAGTACGCATTACACAGTCAACAAATTGCAGCTGTGTTTACGTTATTGTAATAAAGGGTCTGGTCCCTATTGACTAAATCCGAGATGGCGGTGGAAGAACGGGATATGGTTTGTGCAGCTATAATAGTTTTACAAACCATCATCAGAATGATATCCGATGTGAATCAGTTTAGGCGAAAAAGGAAGCATGATGTGCGTTACAAGTGCGTTACACGTTTCGTTCTGCTTTTGTTTCTGTTTCTTTAAGTGTTTTTAAATTTTGTCTGTATCTTATGCTGCCAGAAATCCTAAACATTCGTTTTAATTCTGACAAAAGCTCTCCTTTTTCACCATTTTTAGCTACATGCTTTAAACAAAATCTCACTGTTATTTGCAAACTTCTTTCTTCGTTAACCGCACAGATCTTTCGCCTCCACAGGGCCTGACGCACCACGGCATTGTCACTCACAACTTTTTATGAGGCATGCCTGTGGGAGAGGCTGCGCGAACACCGCGGTCGGCCAAATGTCCGCGTATTGACTGTTTGTTTACGAATGACAAAAATACTATAGCAATAATAGTAATGGTAATAGTATTTATTTAAAGTCAATACATAGGGAGTGATTACTCAATCTCCCGAGCCATAGGCTTATGTTAAAAATGCTCGACTATTTACTCTATGCATGCAACTACATGTACAAATTTAAAACAAAGTAAATCAGAAACCGATTTACATAATTAGGACTAATGTCTTTATAAAGTTCTAGCAAAAGGTTCAAGGAAGATTACGTTGGTTTAAGCTCAGTATAACTTCATCTTGATACAAAGGGAAAGCGATGAATCTTTCTACCTTATAGCTCCAGCCATTTCCTTATTGTAAATGCTTTTCCGGTATTTACTCCTATTATTTTGGCTTACATTTTTCCCGCCATTTCCGCATACACGCGCATGCCCTTTATGTTTGTCCGCGATATTAGCTGTGTGTGGATGCATATGGAGAGAAGAGTCTAGAAGCTAGACAATGCGCAATCGATCTATAAATTAGTCCCAGCCTATTTCGCGTTCTCACTTCAGATTTCCGACCATTCACATTAACCTCGCTTGACTTTAGATTGATCTCAGATCGATCTAAAAATGTAGTGTGACCTTGTCCATAGATAAACCAAGCTATGGATCAATTCAATTTTTTCACAAGAAAAATAGAATTTCACAAGAATTTTGGAAGTTTATAGAAAAACTTTCTTTATAGATTTTAGGAAAACTGAGCCAATACATTGAAGGGATGCAGTTTTTGCCAAACGAAGTAAGAGCATTCTTGAACTTGTTTTGTATTAAAAAATGGATCTCTTTATTAGAAATTAAGGTTTGTTTTTTCCCTACGTTGCCACATGCAACATTGCGCTGTTTTAATGGAAACTTACCTTGCACTGTAAAACCCATTGGAATTGGTCATTCTGCATAGTATAATGAACTCAATCAAACTTAAAAAAAAACTGTAGTTAATTTGGGGATGAAAGGGATAAACGATCATTACGTTTCAAATCTTTTCCGTTATTTTAAAAGCTTTTTTGCTTCCCCCTTTGCATGAATTATTTTGGTTTTACCCCACGCTTCTCTTCACTTTTCTAATAGGCGTTCCTTATTTTGTTAATGTGCGAACCATTTCTTAAGACACTTTAATTAATTGATTTTAAGCCACTTGAAGCAAATGCGTTTAAATAATTTAATTTAAAAACATCACCAATGTAATTTACTGGTTTATCAAGGTTCGGATCTCATCTTTTTAGTTAAAGGGACTAGCTGGAAATTTTCTGACAAATTTTGGAAACGCTAACAGCAAACTTCTACAGTTGAGTCCTCGTCAATCCACGAATGACAGACGGCTAATTGAAGTCTTGGTTCATTTCCTTATCGTCATGAAATGTTTGCCTCAGAATCGATTGCTACAACCTCTTACGAATCTTGCTTTAAATCCTGCTGTGATGATGGTAAGAATTATTAGTAACATGTGGGTTTTTTTTCATCATTTTCCGATAAATGTGATAAAATTTACGGCTTTATTAATAATTCAAACAATTCGTCATGCAAGTTTGTATATTTAGCGCAAATATCACAAAAGAAAATTATCTGGTTTACACTGAACATTCACCTCAAAATTTTATTAAATAATGAAGTGATAACCAGATATTTTAGGGGAAGTCAAAAGTGCTTCAAGCCATGCATGCACTGCCGAGCAAAGGCATTTCGTTAGGAATTTTGCATTGACATGGTGGATAAACATGTGCGTATTTGTGTCAAAACTAGCCACTGCGCTGATTGCACGATTATGTTACAAAGATAAACCAATCAATGCAGAGTATAGAGTGTCAAATATTTAAGAAATAGAAGACGCGTCGCGTGCGTTTATGGTGTGACAATGCACGCGGGAAGTGTTGGGAAAATTCGAGAGAAGCATGTACAAGTGTTGTACACGCTTCTGGAGTTGAAATGCTAGTTAAGAGAACTCAAATATTGTAGAGAAGATTCTGTAGTTCAGCAAGATTATTATTACCTTTTGTTTACAGTTAACTAAATCTATCTCTAAAAAATAATGAAGTTTTTTGCTGAATTCTGCACTGTGACTTGTTTCCACGGACGCTGAGAGAACTCGCGGGACCGCAAAGGCAATTCTTCTCTTGGGGGCCCCATGACATCATTATTCAAGCTAGACCCATCTCAGTCACCGAACTACACTTTAGCTAGACTGCATGTGGAGCTACTATAAGGGGCCCTCAATTTCAATAATACCTCGACCAATTTAAAGAACCTACTTAATTTTAAGCTCTTGTTCTCGAGTTGGGGCCCTATTAAGGTGGGGGGCCAGGGCAATTTCCCCCCTCCCCCCCCCCCGGCCCCTTGCACCCCCATTGTTTCAATATATCAAAATAATCCCGCGTCACATCTCATTCTGGCAAATTGGGATCATATAAACACCCCTTATTCAGCTTGGGGTGAGGCAGCACTTTCCTTGCGATAGTAACTTCTAGTACTATAATACAATTTAGCATATACTCGGGAGGTGGATAGTGCTTGTCAAGCAATTTGATTGGTTGCTCAGCTCCGGATATCCTTACTATTTACCTTATTGGGACAAAAACAAAATGGCTTCCCGTTTCATTTCGTTTACGGGTTTTGGCAAATAAGAAGAAAACCACAAAGTTTGTTTAAATTAACAGTGTGTAGAGGTATTCTTTATAGCTATTTCAAATCCATAAAAATGATAAAATTGCCGAAAGCTTGTAACTATTGCGGGAGCTGAAATACAAATTGTTTTAAAAATATTTTCGTTGTTTTTTGGTCTTTTTGGTTTTGTTGTCATATATGCTAGAACAAATTCCCCTCAGTGTCGGTGAATATAGTTCAAGGATATTCACTTCAAAGCTTCGCGCTTCGCGTTATTCACTTCGGTGTATAATTGTTTCGTGTTATCTTTGCATAGTGGTTTTTCGTTTAAGTTTACCCAGGGGCAAGCATGTCTGGCATATTATGAAAGAATAGTCTGTTAAACAATCTGAAACGAGAAAAGTGAGATAAACAATCTAGAGAGGATATATACTAAAAGATGCCTTCGAATGATTTTACTCAATTACTCCGGTTTTAGATATTTAAGCTGTTCTTTAACTTTTTGCATTGCAATCTGACTATACAAACATGTGTTTATCCGTAACGTTACAAAAATACGTTTCTGTTTGGTTATATAGAATGCTTTTATCCCCACAATGCCTCATGATGATGCTCCTGAAGTTTTGGGGGCAATCCCTGATGGTCGGCCTTATGGTAAGTCAAGGAACGACCTAAATCAAGGTAAAGTAAGGAATGACTTTTAGCCCAATATTTTTGTGTGAAAATGAGCAAGGCAGACGCCTCACCTATATAATCAGTGAATGGACTGCTATAATAAGCGTGCATCTCTATGATGCAAAGGTTTTAATAATGTTTACTTGACTTTTTACTTTTAGAGTGTCCAAATGGACATCGCTATGTTATTACAAATGTAAGTGATGTAAATGAAACAGTCTGAAATCCAGTATTACCCGACATAATGCACGCATAATTAGGATAAATTTCCAGATTGCCTGCCGCGGCTGGGTTTTGAACCCACGACCTTCGAAATACTAGATCGACGCTCTACCAACTGAGCTACACGGTCAGACGGATTTAAGACTGGAAATTATGAAATATATACTGAATGTCATAAACATACTCGTTTATATTAATTCAGCATCGAACTATACAATTAAGTTCTGCAAGTGTTATGTTATGTTGTGTTATTGTTCACTCCGTAACATGATAAGATGAAAATGTTCTCGAGTGTGTATGTCATAATCACATATATATAT